GTCTGTTTTATCCTAAGTGACTAGAATAGTGCCTGATATATAGAGAAGCTCAGCAAAAAGTATGTTGAATAAACTGATGAATGGTTACATGACTGGCATCATCATCTGGTGGCCGACACATCGAGGCCAAGAACCCAAGACGAAATGATCATTTTTCATGGATCACACCAGACCAAACGGCAACTATCAGTCTATACATCTCCCTTCGTCTGCTTATTTGCTGAACTTGGGCTTGTGTGGTTTCCTTCAGAGCAGCAGGGTGATGAGGAGCTCAGGCTCTGACACCTGAATGCCTGGGTCCCATGCCTGGCTCCACCACCCATGGGCTTGGTGACCTTGGGAAATGGCACAACTTCCGTGCCTTGGTTGCCTGTCTACAGAACAGAAAAATTACCTTTAAATGCTGAAGCATCCTAAGGGCTCAGTTCTGGGTCCCCTTCTCCTTTTCCTTCAAACTCACTATTTTGGGGATCTTATCCAGTCTCATAGCTTTAAATATAATCTGTATGTCGAGACGATGGTTTTAAAAATATGTTCACAAATCCTTTGGTATATCTTCCCCCAAAAGAAGGAATTAACTCTTCCCCTTTCGAGTGCAGGCTGGACTTACTGATTTGCCTCTAAGAACAGATGATGGCACAAGTGACAGAATGTCATTTCCAACATGACAGGAATTTTTTGAGAAAAAAGTGAATTACTAGATGTGACATATTCAGCACAGTGGCCGCCACAGAGCAGGGACAGACCATCATGTCTGCAACATTCCGCAGGTCTGCTCTCTGGAACAGCCCTGAAATTTCTCTTTCCAAATGAGATGCTTTGGAAATGTTCCCAAGGTGTGGAAAATAAATAGGTATCTGCAATTTTAGTTGACAGGAACAAATAATCTAAATTCTTCCAAAACCTATTGTTTGATAGTGTGGCCTTTGTAAAATGAGCCAGGACAGGCTATGTCATCTTGTGAATGAGACCACGTGGTGAAATCTATACTGAATTCACATTTCAGCGTAAAACAATTTACGCTATTTATTGAAATTCACAGGAAATGTGAGAAATACACTTACATAACTTTTACTTAAAAAAATATAACGTTAAGGCTGTGTCTATTATATTTTAAAACGTGATTTTTTGGAAAAGAAATCAGACCTTTCACGGAGCAAAATGAATGTTGTTAAATACTGGTAAATGTTAGTAAACATGACAAGTGAAGGCCTTAAGCTTGGAAGTTCCTTAAATACGTTAAAACATTAACGGTAATGTTACAATACGTCAAATCTGTAAGAGGGGGCAGCCAGAGCCAGCTTCACTGACATGTGACCTGTGCAGTCACATACATCCCCATGCTCAGAAGGCCCTTGTGCTGGGTTTCATTTTCTGCTCTTTGAACAAGGCACCCCATATTTTCATTTCACCCAGTGCTCTACAAATCATGCAGCCAGTCCTGGGGGTGGTAACTGTCAGTAGGGAACTGCTATTGCTCCAAGGGTAAAAGGACATTTCAAAACCATCTGGGCATGTTAGGAAATACACTTAACTTCTTTTTACTATTTATAGTAAAATGCAACCGAAAACATTTCCCTTTGGCTGTGGAGGCAAAAGACATGTTCTTGTCAATGAGTCACTGAGGCTATCACAGATTTTCACTCACTGATGCTATTCACACAGATCTGAAAATAACCAGGTGGCTCATGGTTCCACAATGCTTTCAAAATCAGATAGCAAATCCTGTAAAAATATAGCAGAACTTCTTTAAAATACCTCATTATGCAGAGCTGAATGTGGTACCAAGTACATCCTAAAAACATATAGCAGAAGATTCTACTATAAACTACATTAGACAGATTGGATACATTTCCCAAACGCAGAGCAGTTTTGCTCTTTGAATTAAAAATAAAAATACCCAAACTAAACTGATCTGAAGAGTTGGCCATCACTCCTTCCCTTTTGCCCATGAAAGCTGATGGATTTTAACCTTTAATTATAAGCAACCTGAGAGCAACCACAGCAGAATGCCTCAGGCAGAGCAGATCCTCGGTGATGCCAGCAGCTATTAGCTAATGAATTATTAACAATTAACTTTCAGGCTAGTGAGGGAGATTGAGATTTCTTCTCTTCTTTTTTTGGGCCAAGGACGGGGCCTCAGAATCCTTCCTGGAAAGCACTTGAGAAAGTGATTCCTCTTCATAGGAAATGCTTAACCTGTGTCCCAGGCCCACTAAGCTCTGTACATGTAGCCATCCTTTGCATTCTCACCCCAAACTGTCCTACGAGGTCAGTACTTTTTTTAATCCTCATTTTACAGATGAGAAAACTGAGGCATATAAAGCAGTGCAGTTCCAGAGTGTGTGCTTTGATTGTGCACGGAGCTGTGTACCCAAGTGTGAGTTAGGGCTGGCCGCAGGAATAGGGGTATAGCCTCCCAGGTGGCAGGAGCAGCAGGGATAGAAGCCCAGAGGCAAGAAGGAGCAAGGTCTGTACGAGGGGAGGAAGGTGGTCACAGGGCTGAGCCATGGGCGTGTGAGGACATCTAATACATTTCTTAGAAAGTGCTGTCACTCTGACTCTTCCTGGGGAAGAGGAACAGGATTCCTGCACTGTTACCCCTTCTAAGCAGTGGTGTGAAGGCTCAGCTCTGGGCTCCACTGCAGCCCGGCAGCGGGAGGCGGGGAAGCCGCGTGGTCAGGTCTGGTGAGGGCCCTGGGATGCCGTCCCGGGTGCCTGCAGCTGACCCACAGCGCCTCCTCCGTGCGCAGCAGAGCCCTAGTGGCTGACTGTCCCTTCCAACCGATGCCCCAAAACCCCGTGCTGATCTTCGCGTTTCATCCCTGACCATGGGTGAGAATAAGCCTTTTGAGGAAGGAGTCAAGGGGTTTGTCTGAATGAACGCGAGATGTGATTCAGCACCGCCTGCAGAGCGCTCTGTGCAGACCGGGCAGGAAGGGGCCCGTTCACTTTCTCGGGATGTGCTGGGCAGGATTTCCCCAGCTGCTGTTTGTGTCTCGGGGGATTTCTCAGGGCTCTGAAAACAACACTTCCCTGGCTGGGAGGAATATGGGGGGGAGGATGCCAGATGTATTTTGAATTCTTTGAAATCTCAAAGCATCTAAAAAAATTAATCATGGTGGGTAGGTGTGAGAAATTCTTTAAAACGGGGTACATTTTCCCCCAAAGCTTAAAATAGAACTTTTCAAGGGAAATTAAATGAAAGTATAAAAATTTTATAAATGTTCTTCTTCCTACAAAACAGAAGCACAATTCCCCCACCCCCCTAATTGTCATCCATGCAAAAGAGGGCCTTTTCCTCTGCTGGTGTAGCGACTACCTCATGTCTTTTCTTAAATCTTCTCCATGGCTCTGGCCCGCACTTTGTATGAAGACCCTGCTGCTAACTGTGGATAGCAGAGCTTCTCCCCTGGGGGTCCCACTGTTTCCCATAAGCCTCCAGTGTCTCTGTTGACCACCCCGACCCGAACTGCTCTTTGCCAGTGTGGCGCTTGTGAAAGGCTGTCACAATGCCCTGTGCCTGTTTCTTTCTGGGAAAATACATGAAATCCTATCTGAGGTGCGCACGCCCCTGGGGAGTGGGGCCCAGGTCAGAGAGCGCCCCTCCAGGCTGGGCAGGGGGCACGCCCAGGGGAGAGCGCTGCACTTGGAGAAACAGGCTGCGAGTGGAAGGCCTGCTTCTGCCGCTTCCTCTTGGAGGACTTGAGGCAGGCACTCAGCCTCTCTGGGCTTTACCTTCCTCATCTGTGAAATGAGATGTGAGGATTAAGCAAGATGACGTGTGAAACGTGCCCGGCCAGTGCTCAGTTCTGAGGGCGCCCAGACTGGGATGGGTGTTCTCCCGGCGCCCGGGCTTGGTGACACGCTCTAGTCTAGTGCTCTCTGAACGTTGCTGTGGCAAGAAAGGACTCAGAAGCTGGCAGGCACAGCTCAGTTCCAGCAGATAAACCTTGACCGGCCTCCGAGGTGACTTTCTCCCATGGGTCACTGCCCTGGCACTCTAACTGAAGTTCAAGTTTTTTGTGGTCAGGGGGTCACACCCCTGGTGCCCTGTGTCCGGTCCTCAGGGCCACTGTGTCCCTCACTCAGAATCACATATTCTCTTGCACCCAAAGCCAGCTGCCGACCTGGCCAGGTGGCTCCTGCCTCTGCCCCTGGTTGGACCTGCTACCTTGGAAACTGCACGAGGTCAGAGGCCCCCCAAACCAAGGGAGAGGAGTGGGGGCAGGGAGGTGATGAGGAGTGAGGCACTACCCGGTGGGTGGCCCGCGGGTCATCTTCGCCACTCTGCTGAGGGGATCCTTAGCACACTGTCAGCCTCTTGGGCACCCACTCCCCCTTCTCAGAGAGGAAGGATGTTACCCTTGCTCCCATTTCTCACTCGGGCAGAGCTAACACAGAAAGTATAGTAAGAGGGGCGGGGTGGAGGAAGAGGGCACATGCTGGGAGTAGGACAGAGCTGACCTGGACCTTCTCCTTCCCTCTCTGCACACGAAAGGTCCAGGCAGAGGTGCACACACGCACGTGGATGCTCCGGGGAACGGGAAAGACATTGACACACTGCAAGTAGGCAGCCGTTCTACAAGCCAGAGAGTTAATATTGCACCTCTGTTGTCATAGCCTCCCCTAATCTAATGCAAATGTTGAAGTATAACTGCGTATTTTCCCAAAGAGAAAAATGATTATCATGATAATTGACATTTACTCAATTACTGAGTTTCTAAATTACTGATTTCAAATTTGTTTCTGTGAATACATTATACACTTTTTAGCAACCCAAGAGGTCAAGTTCAAGTTGGAGTTCTTTTTAAAGGATAAATTTTCTGTACTCCTATTGTCCTAGTTTTCCACCCACTACATGTGTAATGCTACGCCAGGGACGCAACATCTCTGAGACTGACTTGTCAAATAAAGGGGAGTCCCTGCAGTGCTCTCAGGGGGTGGGGAACTGTAAAGAAATTGTCTTTTAACAGAGAGGAAGACAGTGACGGTCTTACCTCCGCTTGGCAATGGCCAGCCAGTCCCTGAAGAGAAGGAGGTTCCTCTCCTTGGACTTGGGGCCCTGGGTCAGCACCACGGGGCTATGGAGAACAGGCTCACCCTGCTGGTTGGGCAGGTCCAGCTGCAGATCCAGCCGTTGGGGGGATGCTGCCCGCCCCAGGCTTTTCCTGTGGGGGAAGAGCAGGAATCAGTCTCCAGGGAAGAGTGATGACAGGTGGATAGTACATGAGCAGTCACGGCTCAAAATAGCAAATCACTTTTTGGCTTAACTAGGGTGGAAATTAGGAGGGGAAACAGTGAAGAGGCTCATTGCAGATTGTTATTCTAAAGCCTGAACTTTAAACACAGATTTACAGTGAAGCACAGTAAATCAAGTGTTATTGGTCTTCCTTCAGTGAATAGCTCGTAAATGCTTAGAGTGTAACCGTTAAGGATTTCGGTGAGAATTTTAATCTAAGGCAGTGCTTCCCAAACTTTTTCGTGTCACAGCACACACAGTAAATGCCAGTATTTATATCCCACCAGGGGGTGAACAGAGGCTGCAAAGGGTTACTGGCCCCCCCGCCCCAGGCCTCTCAAAGCCACCTCCAGAGCCGAGGTGGACAGCATGGTGGCATTCCTGTCACTCATTTGTGGCACACGGGTGGGACGCTCTGACTTAATTAATGAGGAACTGTTTTCCCTGAAGGTTGAAACGGTCAGGTTTAGCCTGCTGTGAAATCTAAACGAACAGTTCTCCTCCACAGCGTGACTTAGCAGTGGTGCGGAGCGAACACCATCGCGCGGAGCAGGGCATCAAGTTGATGACTGGACTCCAGGACCTTCTCCCTGCGATTCCTTCAGGGCTGGGACTCCCACTTCCTGTTTCTCGTTCACAGCCTGTTCACTTCCTGGTCATCACCCAGTTTCTGGCAGAGATGGGGGACCGCGCGTTCATACGTGCGTGGCACGCGTGCGCCGAAGGAGGGCTGGAGAGCTGGGCTACCCTCCTCGGCAGCTTTGAAATTAGGCGGCAAGATGGCTCCCTGCTTGGCCTGTTTTGTGGTTGCTTTAAGTTTTGCTCACACCCACCTCCTTCCATCCTAAAGACAGCAATGCTGACTCTTGGAGGCAGATCTTTTATACAGAGAACCTTCTGTTTAATTCAGATATGGTGTATGAATAGAGCTGTGTTGAGGCTTCGGGACACATTTCTGTTATTTTAACCCAAACACGCACATTTTCAATACCCACCATTTTCCAGAAATCAATGACGTGGCACGAGTCTTTGACTGAGCTCCCTGATCAATAGTTCCCGCTCGTTAGTACCACTCTGACTTCTGACCTTTCCACCCACCACACACCTCCCACTGCCTTCACTTAGCTTCTCTCAACACGAGCTGGTGTCCAGAAATGATAAGCCCCAAGTAAAGTCTGGGGGGTTATGAAGTAGAGCATTTTCAACTCGTGCTGATGGCTAATTAACTACTTAGGGAGGGAAACAGGGTAGAGAAATTGGGACTCACTACAGGTACTGGAAACTAGAACTCTCTACTTTGTTGATAAATGTCTTTTGATTTTCTTTGAGTTCATTTGGGAAAATGCCTAATTATTTCCATGCATCTGAGGGATAATAACTCACTAGTATGAAGCAGACTTTATTTCTCTGGTTACACCCAGGAGAGCCTGCTTCCACTGCCTGACCCAGAGGTTGCACCCTCAAACGCCCGAGGGGCCAGGCAGGAAAAGCGAATGGTTGAGGTGAGTGATAAGGAGCAGTGGGGACTGTGGAAAATGGCAGAAGTCATGCTGTATCCAAAGGAGCACCAAATAGGAATGTGGGTCCATGTTACTGCTAATTATTTAAAAAGCCAGTAAGCCCAAATCTGATTAAATGTTAACTAATTCTAAGCATTTGTTTAAACACAATAGGGGGCAATGCTGTGACCTCTGGCAGAATTCACCATAGTCACCTGCAGATTTAGAGCACATGAAAACATTCAGATGTGTAGAGCCTCTGATGATTTGAGCTAAATATTTGAATATTTATAATCTGATGTTATAAACCACATTGAGAGTAAAAGGTCTAAGTCTCTCAGATAATTATTCATTTGAGCTTTAAGAACTGTGGACACATAGATAATCCATGACCAGTAAAAGGAAGTAGGTAATGTTTCTTTTTTCAATTCACTGCTCTGCCAAGTGCTTTTCCACAATTCAATCTTGGTTTAGACACTTTTCTTTTTTTATCTCTCCTTTCACTGCTCTTCCTCTTAACC